TTCAAATCATCTCTTTTCTCTTGCATTTTACTATGAGCACTAAGAAGGAACCAAGTTGCACCTTCAATATTTTGCTTAGAGATCTCCTCCACTAAATATCCAGTTGTATCATTTGCAATTCCTACCTTCCAGAAAACACTTAGAACACAATTTAGCCAAGTTCTCTGCTGCTTTATAACAAGGGTTGTCTTTCCTTTGGGGTCTGGGGCCTCTTCACCAACTGCATGTGGGAACTCACTGCCCTGCATGGTTCTTCCCTCATGTAGCTGGCGTTATAGCTGCTGGTTGCCTCATAACAATCAATAAGATTGTAAGTATTTTTTAATCCTTACCCTGGGATATGGTTATTGTTAGAGAGAGAAACATCAATCAGTTGTATCATGACTGGCGTGGCTCTGTCGGATGGATAAGGTCGCCTGTTTGATTCCTGGTCAGGGCACATGCCTGGGCTGTAGGGTTCCCAGTTGGGAGTCTGCAATAGGCAACTGATCAGTGTTTCTCTCACACATTGATGTTTCTCTCCCTCTCTTTCTCCTTCCCTTTTGCTTTCTCTAAAAATAAATAGAGTCTGAAAAAAAAATGGATTTGTTGCCTCCTATATGTGCCCCAACTAGAGATTGAACCTGCAACCTAGGTTTGTGCCCTAACCTGGAATCGAACACTTAGCCTTTTTGTGTACAGGATGATGCTCCAACCAACTGAGCCAGCCAGGACATGAGACTGCTCAGTACTTTCACTTGGTGTCCCATTTTGTCTGTATGACAACCCTGAGTGGTAGGAGACTCTGGGCTGCCATAACAAAGTGCCACAGACCGGATGGTATCTGAGATCAAGAGATCAAGGTGTCAGCAGGGTTGGTTTCTTCTGATGCCTTTCCCCGTGGCTGCGGATGGCCGTCTTCTCCCTGTGTCTTCACATGGTCTTTCCTCTGTGCCAGTCTGTGCCCACATTTCCTCTTCTTATAAAGATACTAGGGCCCACTCATATTACTTTATTTTTTCAATTTCTTAATTATCTCTTTGAAGACCCTACCTCCAAATAAAGTCACATTCTGAGGTACTAGGGGTTAGGACTTCAATATAGAGTTTTTTGGAGGACACATTGCAGCCTGGAATAGAGGGTAAGCACCGTTGCCCTCACTTTATAGCTAGGAAGTGAGACCTTAGGGTCAGAGTCTTTCTTGAGGCCACACAGCCACTGGGACAAGACTACAGCCCCAGGCATTGGGACCCCCATTCTCTTTCCACAGCAGGCCTCAGTCATAGAGTTGGCTGAACTTCCACTTGTTGAGAGAGTGGGGTTTTCAGGAGATCCAGACTTAGAAGTTATCATTGGTCTTGCTCTGAAAGCACCATCTTTTCCCCATCCCCTGTCTTTAATTGGATTCTTCTAAAATCAGGCCATGATTTGTAGTTTAGTTGAGGAAAGGAAACACCAGTAGGGGAGTGGGAAAGTCACATAGGGAAGAAAGCAGCCCATGAAAAGTGCATGACTGGGCAGGTGACTGCTGAGGGCAGCTGGGGCTCATCCTGCTGAGGCCTCTGGGAGGCTGTGTACAACATACCACAGAGGTATCCTCCTGATGCCTAGGATGAGGGGCCCAGGCTGTCTGTCCACTAACTACTGATGGTCATTGGTTGCAAGCTGCCTTGGAGTGTGAATTCCTCCAGCACCTGCAGCACACCCTGAGGGAGGTTATTGATGAGCATGCCTGGGCCTGGAGAGTGCTATGGTACTCTAGTAGTTATCTACTACTGTGTAACACATTACACAGACTTAGCAACTTACAGCACACTTATTACCTTACAGTTTCTGTTGGGAAGGAGTTGAGCTGGAGTATGGCTTAGTTGGGTCTTCAGCTTCAAGGTCTCTCTCAAAGCAGAAGTCAAGGTGGTGGTCTGGGCTGTGGTCTCAGCTGAAAGCTTGTCTGGGGATGGACCTGTCCTGATGCTGCCCTCAATTCCTTGATGTGTAGGTTTTCCTAACATGGTTGTTTCCTTAAAGTATTCAAGCCAAGAATGCAATCAAGAAAGCCAGCTAGCAAGATGAAGAAACTTAGGTAACACAATCACAGAAGTGACACCCTGTCCCCTTTGCTGTATCCTATTAGTTGAGAACAAGTCAGATGTCCTGCCAGCACCGAAGGGAAGGGAATTACGTAGTGCGTGAACACAAGAGATGGGGACATTGTGGGCATGTGCTACATGGCCACCTGCTTTCTTTACAAATTATTGCCAGCCAGAAACATTTTTGTCAAGATTTAGAGATAAGAAATAATTTTATTGCAAATCGGTCAGAAAATCAAATTTTAAACTGGCCACTGGGGGACTAGCCAAGTGTGATTTGATTTTCTGGGCCTGACATGGAGTCTCCTATGCTTTGCTGTCCCTAGTTAAGGGCCAGGCGTCCTGGACTTTCTGCAGGGGGGACTCTGACTCCTAGGGATCTTCCCAGCCACAGCCTGTGGAGCCCACTACAGTAATGGTTTCTTTCACCAGATTTCCAAGCAAATTTGGACTTGAATGAGAGAGAACTTTGCAACTTCAATTAAAATTCCATCTAGGCTACTAATATGGAAATTAATATAATAAAGTCTTTCTTCTGCCTGGGCTTTGAACAATTCCTAAAGCCACAGGATGGTGCTCCTTTTCCCAGCACTCATAATGTTCAGATGGTGACTGGGAGAAGATGGAAGGATTTTTTTTTTTTTTTTACTCTAATGTCTAGATGAACAAATTAACTTTTTTGGGAAAAGGAAAGTATATCAGCCTTATCCATTTATCAGTGTCTTGAACAGATTCTGCTTTTTTAAAGTCAGTATTTTGTTTCCTCCGAGAGGCCATGTGTAGGATAGTGGTTAGGGCTCACAAGCTCTGAAACTGTAGTACTTAAGTTTGAACCCTGGCTCAGCCTCCCAGTAGCTGTGCAACCATGGGCAAGTTACCTATCTTCTCTGTACCTCAGTCTCTTCATCTGTAAAATGGGGTAATGAGAGTACCATGCTTTCAGACTTCTTGTGAAGATTAAATGAATAAAAATGCATGCAAAGCCCTCAGAACAGTGGCAGGAGCCAACAAGAATTTGCTATTGTCAGTTTGAGAAAGCCAAATAATACACCAGGAATAGAAACTTTTGAGTGATGGACATGACTGAGGGAATTTATGAAACCTGCTCTTTCTAGACTAAACCAAAATTCTCTATTTCCTTTTTGAGTTCTGTTTCAGAAAAGGGTCCACCATACCTGTGAGTTCAGGGGTCTGGAGAAGGCATTCCTGATTTCCCAGGTATAACTGGTCCATAATGGTAATGCACAGCTACCTAAAGTGTGTCAATAAACACTTCACTTCTGGGCTCTGGCCAGGCAGACCTCTGGGCCTGGTGGTGGAGCTGCTTGTAATTCTAGCAGGCTTTGACATGAGAATGGGGAAAGAACTTGTGTGACTCAGTGATTCTGAAGATGAAATGAGAATGAGTGAGAAGCTCTGAGCTGGGGAGCAGGGTGTGGAGACTAGGGGATGAAGAGATTGGAGAAGCTAGGGCAGAAAAACAAAATTTACTCTGGCATCTGAAATAGAATGCCTGCTAGTTGTTCTAGGGGAGGCTTTACCAGACATTTTCTCTCTCACTTCATTTTTTAAAAAAGATTTATTTATTTATTTTTAAAGAGAGGGGAAGGGAGGGAGAAAGGGGAAGAGAAATGTCAATTGGTTGTTTCTTGTTCACACCCCAATTGGGGACCCACCCCACAACCCAGGCATGTGTCTTGACAAGAACTGAACTGGTGACCTTTCACTTTGCAGAACAGTGTTTAACCAGCTGAGCCACACAGAGCATCTCTCTCTCTCTCCTTCCCCCTCCCCCACCACTCCACACCTTACATCAGTGGTAGCTTGCATAGTGTGGCATTCTTAAATGTTAGTGTGCAAAGGAATCACTAGGGATGCTTGTCACTAATACCAATTCCTGGGCTCACCTCCAGAGATTGATTCCACAGCAGCTCTGTAGTGGGGTCTGGTGGTTCTTATGGGGGTGTCTAAGGGCTGTGGTGCCCCAGAACCTAGAAGGAGCAGAGAGGCCATAATCTTGTTGGGAACAGTGACCAGGGGCTTTTCTGGAAGTTGTACTTGCCCTAAAGTCACACCACTTGGAGTGAATGTTGATTTAGGGGAGTTTGGGGAGCTGGTGGAGATTATCGAGGTCTAAAGTCTCAAGCTGCCACTTGATGTCCCACTCTCCGAGAAACACTGTCAGAGAGTGTTAGAAATGGGAGGTGCCTTTGGTACTGTCATTCTACAGAGGAAGACAATAAGGCCCCCAGAGGTTCAGTGACTTCATCAAAGTCACACAGCTAGTTAAGGGCAGATTTGAGACTGTGACTAAGTATTCTGGTTCTTCATCCAGTTCCCCATTCACTAAACACCTGTTCCCTCTGGGTGGGGAGGGGAGAAGCCTGAGAAGAGGAAGTCATGAGAATTGGAGGGACAGCTGGACCAGTGGTCCCAGAGGGTAGGGCAACAACAAAAATTTTGTTCTCTTTGAAATCAGAGTCAGAATTAGGGTAGGGATAATTTTGGCTTGGAATTCAAAATCATTAATAGCGTTATCTTCTAAACGTAAGATATCCCCACTTGACAAAAACATATTCCAGGTGCGGGACTTTTTTCCTTCTTTTATTATTTATTTATTTTATTATCTCAAATTCTCATTTTATTTTTTTATTGGAGGTATTGGGGGTTACCCTCTAAGGGAGCTCACGTTTCAGATTTTCTTCCTAGTAACAAAATCCTCATACTGGCTCTTGGCTGTCCCAGCTTTTCGTGGTGCCCGTGTGGATGTGGGCAGATGCCCAGAGCGGCGGGACTGCGGCAGCGCGGGCGGCGGGCACTGCGGGAGGGGGCACTGCAGCACCGTGGCCCCGGGCGGCGGGACAGTGGCCCTCTGGAGGGGGCGCTGTGGGCACCGCTAAGCATCCTTTTGTCAGCGCGCAGGGCCAGGAGAGCTTCTCATTTCCTCCCAGCCTCGTGCGGGAAATGGATTTAATTCTGACCGCAGGGCTGTAAGGGGCGAGCAGGAACGAACATCTTTTGTCAAGGAGTGGCAAGCAGCCTCTGTTGTCTGTAGTCACCAGTGACGCCAGAGCTGCATTGCTGGTGGAATTCTAGGCAGCTCCGACAAGTGCGGGGCTGCGGGATGGGGAGAAAATAGTGCTCTGCAGATTAGCTGGGTGCATTTATTAGCAGATCTCAGGAAGGGGGGAAACAATCAACGGAACAAAACAAAAACAACTGCCTACAGTGGAAGCCCAGAGATGGATAAAAAGCCTTGCAGAAGGTAAGCACGTCTCCGGAATGGCCACCATGGAATTGCCTTGGTTTTGTTTAATTTAATGGAATTTGAGATCCCACAGCATCCTTCCGCCGTGCTAGAGCTGGCCCGGTCGGTATCCGTGAGCGTGTTAGTGAGTGCGTCTACGATGCAGCCCTTCCCCGCAGCTGTGTTTTACGCCTAAAGGTTTCTGTTGGTGATGTGACATTTGGAGAATCTTTGGAGAGCCAGGCTGCAGAGCCCTGGCCTCGGCAGGGGGACGGTCGGACCTACTCGCCCAAAGCGCTAAGCCTGACAGGTGGGGCTTTCTTCTGCGCCGGGCTGGAGGGTGGTAGCTTGCTTAGCGGCTGCCCCTCCTTCCCCTTCCGGCTAGGCCACCGCCCTCCCGGGAAGCTTTGCAAGGCGCGCACGGCTGGGCTGAGCGCGCTCCCCGAGCCTCACCAGCCCCGGGAGCTGCGTTCCCCCGCAGCTGCGGGGATAGCAGGTGGGACATCTGCAGCCGCCTGCATTTTGAACAGAGAAGCTGTCAAGTAAGCAGGTCCTGGTGGGCTTGGATTTTTGTGCGACTCCACCACTTTGGAGGGAAAAAGGCCACTGTCCCTGAAGAGGTCTTGATAATCTGTTCCTCTCTTTACTCCATCTTCCCTCCCCTCTCTTCCCGTTCTTTTCTCCCCTTCTGCACCCCGGGTGGGGGCCACCCTAGGTGGTCCGCAGGGCGGAGGCCAGCATCTGCTTATTTTGAAATCGTGACTACAGCCTACCTGCTGTGGAGGAGGGGTAGTAGAGGCAGCCTGCTTTAGGATGCTGAGCAGGCGTTCTGGGTCTAGCCTATTGTCTTCCCTTTACTCCCCCTTCCTTTTCTTCTCTAATCTCCACCCCTGCTCTCCCGCCATCCCCCACCCCCAGAAAGAGGAAAAAAAAAAAAAAAGGAGGAGAGGGGAGAGAAAGAAAAAAAGCCCCAGCCCACACCCTATCAAAATCTTTTAAAAATTTGTCATTTATCTGTGGCACATGATTATTACCCGTCTGTTTTGTTACACCCACTCTTTCCTCCTCTGGCAGTTTGTCGCCTAAAATTCAACTGACTCAAACAACCCTTATAAATAAATAAAATCTCAGTTTTTGAAATGGATATTTAGTGTTTTGTGAATAACCTCAAAGTAGGGGAGCAAATGGTTGGAGAGGATGGACTCTCCTCCTTTCACATCAAGGGTGTGAGTGCAGCTGGGGTACCTGAGATACTTCACTCAGGCAGTGAGAGATGTCCTCATGAATGGGGTTTGAAAATGATGCTTAATTTGGGGGGAAATAGTTTTTGGTCAACATTTGAAATGAAAGTGCTTTAAATGAATAAGACCAGAGAAGGTAACTGAAGTTTCAGACTTGCAAGCCATCCGCCCACTGACAAATGAATAATAAATGTTAGAGACTTTAAAAAAGGGGTTAGACCATTTAATATGTTCACTTTATAATGTACCTTCATTCTGTAGTGTGATCATACATTTCTCGATCCCTGTGGACCAGGATCTTGCCCAAACCGCACCCTCCCGCACCCCGCAAGAGGGCACAGTGAAATAAACTTTTCGGTATTAGTATGCACTCAATAGACTTTGGAGCACCACTAACAACAAATCATTCTGTGATCCAAAATCCATAACATTTCTGTAACAAGCCCTATGTTCTTTCCTGTCCACCAAATTGCTTAGCCACGTTAGAAATGTACTTGTCACATACACACTGCACAACCCCGCCTGAAGTGACACACCACGGGTAGCTTCTAGGCTTGGGCTGACTTTGCTTTAAATGTTAGTAGAGTGCTAGAATTAGCAAACCTCAACTTTACACATATAAAGGCTTTGATAAATATATTTATTACCTACCTTGTTCCACAAGGGTTTTAAGACAGTTTACAGGAATTCATAAACATAGCAAGGCAGACTAGCTAGGAGTAGATGTGAAAGAAAAAAAGGAAACTAAGAGGAGAGACATAAAATGGTATTAAGAATGAGATGAATACAAAAATAGAGGCATAAGACCCCTACACCTCTCATGAGGGGGGAACAAATCCAGCTCTCGGCTTTTTAGTAGCTCATACAAAAAGGGAAGTTGCCCATGGCACATATGATTTGTTTATTTGTTGACTCATTCACTCAACAAACATTCAGTGAGAACTTACTCTGTGCCACGTCTGTGAGACACAGACTTGTTCTCTGCCCTGATGGTACTTAGAGGCAAATGCAAGAAACAGACATTCATGAAGAAATATCTCCAATGAATATATAATTACAAATTGTGTTAAGAGCTGTGCAGGAAAAGCACAAACAAAATATCACATGTCCAGAACATTAAAACATAAAATATAAACCTCATAAGGGAGCACAATAATTCTTGACACTAACAGCAGAAAGGAATTTTTTTCAAATATGATGCAGTGTTTGGAATGGTGTCTTCAATCAAGTCCTCATCAGACACAGAGTGGGCTGCCTGCAGCTGGTTTTTATAGTGCCCTTCCATGTCAGCTCATGATCTCAACCACAGGCCTTCCAGACCCCTGAGGCTCTGAGGATGTATGTCTTTTGTGGGATCTGTGTCTTCTCTAATTTCAATGATAATCTTAAATAATGAATACTAAAAGTGTGTTCTGGATCATCTTGATAGTCACCCCCAAATCAAAGTTCACCCCAGAGGGTTGGGTCTAACCCTCTACCTTCCCTTGTGAGCCGGGGGTGGGCCTGCTGACTCTGGCCACAGCACGGATGCAGGGAGGGGGACTGAAACAGGCATGTGGAGAGACACGTGAGCTCACATAGGCACAGGCTTGCCAAACTCAGAGCAGCTCCTGGTGACCTCTGCTGCACTGGCAAGGAACACAGCTCTCCTGCGAGATCTACCTGCATAGGGACAGAGTCTCAGTAATTCATTAGCAGCAGGTGTTGCAGTAAAAACTCAGTGGAAAAGTTGCTGTTGCTGGTTTTAGCAGTAATTAGATTAGGTTCCTATTTAAGGCAGAATTCGTAACCCTCCAGTAAGTACCTTATGTCCAAAGCACTGACAGGTAATTTGGTGCAATGGTTAAGTGGAGCCGGACTGCCTGAGTTCAGGTCCACTTTTCCACTTAAGCTGTGAGACTTCAGGCAAGTTAATCAGCCTCTCTGTTCCTCAGTTTCCTCTTGTGATAATATGTGGATAAATATGTGGTATTGATTTCACAGTGATATTGTGAGGATTAGAGGTACTACATGTGAAAGACTTGGAGCATGTAGTAAGGTTCAATAAATGTTAGAGACCTTTACTATTCGTGTTAGTGTGAAATGCCACCTCATTTATGTAGACACTCCAGGATGGTTTTGATAGTAGACTCTCAAACTAGACACATTTTTAATGTTATCAATATTGTTTTGCACAGCATGCGTTATGCATTGCTTGCATTCAGATCATTGAAGTCAAAATTCAGAAAACAACATGTAGTAACCAGACCTGAGGCTACATCTTTCTATTGTTAAAGCCAAAATGGTGTTTTAGCTTAAGTAAAACAATATTATCAGTTGCAGTGAATTTATTTTATTAATTTGACATTTTAAAGTTTGATAGTTGTATTTATTTGCACCTTTGTTTTGGCATTTTGGCTATGTAAAAGCTATAAAGTACAAGTGTTAGAACTGGCCTTTATTAGTGTAATATTTAAGTTACTTTTTTCCTCATTTTTAAAAAATTTTATTTTAATCATTGTTCAAGTACAGTTTTCTGTTCTTTACTCCCATCCTCCCCACCTCCCTCCCATTTCCACACCCCCCCCCCCCCCCCCAGTTTTTGTCCATGTGTCCTTTATACTTGTTCCTGTAAACCCTTCCCCTTTTCCCCTGAAATTCCCCTGAAATTCCCTTCCCCCTCCTTTCTGGTCACTGTTAAGTTACATTTTAATAGGTGTGACTTAGGTTGACCATTGGACCCACGAGGAATTTTTTTCTTTCAAAAGGGATTTCTATGCAGTTCATGCATTTTGAACTGTGTACAAGGACACACACAAGATTCTTAGGATAGAATTTTGAATCTCAAATTCTCAAAGAGACTGCAGCCCCAATAATTGACTCCATACACCTGGATGGCTATAGTTTTAGCCTGAAAGAATTTTAAGGCAGTGATACCAAAAACTGCCTCTGTCTTCAGCAAGATAAATGACACACGAAAGATTAGCCAATGTTATGAAGTGTGGTGAAAAGTCAATTCTCTGCAGAGTACAATGTTTAGCTATATAGATGAAAATGCATTTATTGATTACATTGTTAAATCTATTTAAAAATTTTTTTTTACCTAAGCAACCTGTCAAAGATGACAGGAAATATGTTAGTTTCCCATTATAATCATGTTTTTGGTAGCTTTCCTTTTTATATACACGTGCCATAGACATATACACATATATGTCTCATACACACACAGTTATGTTTGAGTCTGTGTCACTAGGGCCTTGATTGCCCAGGACTGATGGTTTTCCTGGGATGAGGGACATTCAGTGCTAAAACCAAGACAGCAAGGCAAGGCCAAGACACATCTGTTTTAGTTTTAGAGGACGGGGGAGAACAATGGCCCCAGTTCTTTAAGAACTCTCTAGAAGGTATGGTACAGATGGTGCCAACTACCAGCAGCCATCTGATCATTAACAAGGGTCCCTCCTGGGAAGAAGCAAAGATGTTCCCCAAATGAGTCCTAGAATATTCCTCAGGCTCACTGAGCCAGGCCCAGATGGGTTGTGGAGGTTGGGGCAGGGGTAGGGGTGGGGGACAAGACAGGGAGGGCTCTATGAACTCTATCAGCACCTTCCACCTTGAGTAACTGTACCCCCAGTCTGGACATGTGCTGAGAGAGCCCCCCAGTAAAGTGAGGATTTAACATAGCCAGCTTCAAGCCAGGTCAGTTCTGATCGCCCCAACATTTGCAGCTACAAATAAAGATATGTACATAAATAAATGCCACTTGGCCCAGCAGTAAAGATTTCTAATGTGTTTGAT